CCCACTGTGACATTCCTCTGTTTCTGTCTTTTAGCTGCAGGTTAATTTTTTATCATTCAACACTTTGGACCATTTGTTTCTGCAGATATTCAAAATAGGTTTCATCCCTACAGAGTCTGTACAAAAGCTTGAACAAAATCTGCAGCTACACCTAAATCAAACTAACTTGAACTTGTACCAATGCATACTTTATTGACATATAAAAACACATGCATTTTGATACTGTCTTTATACCAATAAAACTAAATATCTGAGTTGCTCCAAAATAGTTCTTGTAGGCAGTTATCAATCTGCGACATTTATCTGCCTCTCTCTCTATGACATCAAACTGCACTTCTGCCTGCAAGTCGAGAAGCACAAAACATTTCACATGTTTCATCTGCATGCACTAATAATAATAAGAGGATCGTAAAATGCTTTTTCTATTCTGATGGAAGACTTTCATGTAATTGTCCAATCCTGACATGAACTTTAATTACTCAAGCTGCTTTTATTGCTGATATAATAGAATCAGTTTTGTCAAAGCAAATACAGACTTTTAAGGAACACAATAAGCCTCTTAGGTTGAGATCATAAAATCATTCTAGTTCTAATAAACATTTTCACAATTTCTCAGTAGACAACAATGATATTAAGATGTTGCACATTGTCTGTTGAACATTTGTGCTATGTGTTGCAGATTAAATAAGGCATTTCCTCATGTGCATATCCATCCATCTATTATCTATACACCGCTTGATCCTCACTAGGGTCGCAGGGGGGCTGGACCAGCTGACTTAGGGCGAAGGCAGGGGACACCCTGGACAGGTCATCAGTCTGTCACAGGACTACACTTAGAGACAGACAACCAAGCACACTCACATTCACACGTACAGACAATTTAGAATCACCAATTTACCTCAACATGTTTTTGAAGGAAGCAGGAGAACCCGGAGAGAACCCACGCTGCACAGGGAGAACATGCAAACTCCACACAGAAAGATCCCAGGTGCCCTTCCTGGGACTTATTCTAGCTGTGAGACGACAGTGCTAACCACCGCCCCACCTTGCAGGCCTCATGTGCATATGTAGACATTAATTTCCAAAACCTGGAAATTGAAAAAATAAGCGTCCTAACGTAGGTAATCACCCGTTTAAGTTTCATGGTGATACTGATCATTTAGAGTTTTGCCTAAAAGCAGAAGTTTCAAATGAAAAATTGCTAACGTTTACAATACATCTTTCTATCTTTGAAGTCGGTTATTTAA